ACATGCAAAAATGAAATAAATTGCAAATGCTCCATGCAGAAAATGAGAGGAAACATGTGTCCCTGTGCCATGGACACATCATAAATCCACACAATCTGCTGAGGCAGCACAGCATGAGGGAAGGAAGCACAGGCTTTGCAGTTTGATGAGCAAGGCTTCAATCTTGCAGGCGCTTAACCTCTTCTACCTCATTTCCTCACTGTAAAGCAGGTTTAGCTACACTGTTATGTAGATGAAAGGGGAAAATGTAAGTGAAGCTCAGTATACAATATAGTTCCTTAACAAATGTTGGTTCCTTTCCCCTTTGCACTGACAGAAAATACCCCAGAGGTCCTGAAAAGCAGTTCTTCAATGCCAACTGCCTTCCCTTAAAAAACTAGGTCTTAGGGGAGCAGCTAAGAATCATAAGATGTGGTCGCGGTTGAGATGTTATCTATGGCAAGAACGCCCATCACCGTAGATGTGGTTATGTATGCACAGGGGTGGGGGTGTGGTGTTGGTGGGGTACAGACGCACATGGGCAATGGTTTCCTGCTGACAGTATGACGCAAAGCACAGGAAACGCCATCTTTAAAGTGTCTCGTTTCCAAACCATAAGAGACTAAAATTACATATGTGTATGTGTGATGGTGTTTCTTAAAATGAAAAGGGAGAGAAAAAGAATCCATCCTAATGTCTGCTTCACTGCTGGTCTGTGAAATGGCTCTAGCTGGTAGTTAGGGAAGCATGCTGAGTATACATGCATGGTAATGACTGAGCCCAGCACTTGTGGCTGTAGGCAGAGAGGCAGCATGAAACACAGTTGTGGTGGCAACAGTCACCTGGAACTGTTATCTTGTAGCTGCATCCTGAGACATCACACTGGATGTTCCCTTGGGTTCAAGTCCATGCTCTACCAGGTACAGGGATTTGAGAACTGAACACTTTCCCTGTGTGACACTCATCTTTCTCATCCATGAAATCATCCACAGTGTCTTGAATGAGCTTGGAGGTAAACAATTTGAACCCCTGGATATATTAGGAAAGGCAAACAGATTTCAGTTTGAACGCAAAATCTCACAGCCATGCTGAAAAGGATTCTGAGGCAGCATCTGGTCTTACTGGGCAACAGTGCTCCAGTCCATTGTCTTTCTAATGATGTCTTGTCGAGGTTATTATTAGAATTATATAATTTATGTTTCTAAAGCCACATTCCAAGTAGGAGAAGGACAGAAACTGCAAAATCATGTTAGGGAAACAAAGCTGAGATTTTTAATTTGCAACTGATAATCCATTAAATGGACAAAAGTCAATTCCTTGAGGGCTGGGACCATGTCTTCATGACCCTAAAATTCTCTTCATATCATTGTCCAGAGTAGTTCCTTATACTTAATAGATGCTCAATTAAGTTTCACTGCATTAAATTATTGAGAGTTTTAGGAGTAATTTGCTCCTGAAGACTCAGACTACCAAGCATAGAATTTTGACCTATTTTAGAGGTAAAAGCAGAGTGGGGAATAAGGGAATCGAAATGTATCCATCACTTCTCATGAGCTAAGAAGATTAAGAATTATTTTACTTAATCCCAACTCTAATCCCTTGAGTTTGGTATTATGGTCACTCCCAGTCTCTGGGTTAAGGCTCCGAAAGGTTAAATAACTTGTCCAATGAGGTATGGTTGGTTAGTGGTAAGGAGAGGATTGAAACTCATGTCAGTTTTGACTCCAAGGTTAAGCAGGGGAGTTCTTCCCTATTCTTCTGAAAGAATAATACCAACAATTTTGACCCCAATTGAACACGGATGCTTTATGAACATACTGAACTTCACTTCAAGCACTCCAGAGTATCTGATTATGGCTACAAATAATAATTCATAGATAGACAGTGCTTCACAAATTAACAAATGATTAACAAATGACAGTGCTTAACAAATTGCAAAGGGCAATAATACCAACATGGGATAGAGGGAGGGAATAGCACTGTACCAAGAGCTTTTCTTACCATAGCTTTGGCAATGACTAGCTGTGTGACCCTGGGCAAGTCACTTCCCCTCTCTGGGCTTTACCTTCTTTGTCTGTAAAGTAACCAATATGGACCAAAAAAGCTCCTTTTCAGAGCTATCAGGCTATATGGAAGGCTGACAGAAGAGTCAAAGACAAACAGCTGGAGAAGAGCAAAGGAGCTGAAAAGCAAAACCCCATGGAATAGCATTTTCAGAGACCAGAGATCTAATTCCACCAGCCCAGAAGCAGAACAGCCTCAGACCAATACCCACAAGTCCCTTTACCTCTAAATCAAAGAAGGGGCCACAGCACGATTCTCTTTACATGAAGCAGGCCAGGCTATGGGCTGGGCCTCTTCCAGGGTCTTCAGACTATCGGCCTCATGCTCACCTGCCGCCCCCTGCCCCCCACCCCCACCCGGCTGTAAACCATCACTCCTCCCCAGGAGCAGAGTCCTAGACCTATCTGTGGCCAAGTCAACATCAGGTGCTTGATGTCTAACTCAAAACTCCCCCAGAATGGTGGTGGTATACAAGGCCTGACTGACACTTGATTTTTTGCCACCCCAAGACTTCTTCCTATCAGTTTACAAAAGTGGCAGCTGCTGGGGCACCCTCAGAAATGGCGAATGGAAGGGGCATCTGCAAACTCATCACTACCAAGGGACTCATTGCATTGTTGCTGCAGCTGTAGACTGGCTGGTACCAGAGGATATGCTCACACCCCTTACCAAGCCCAGCTCCAGACAGAACTTTGCATGTTTTGAGGATTTTTCCATCAGCCACTGCAGATGTCTATGAAACACCTCCACTCCACTCACACAGAAACACACAACTATGCAGAAGTCTCAGCAGCCTGCAATCCCAGGGGCCAAGAACATTTAGAGTCAAAGGTGTTCAGCGATCTGGTTTTCACAGTCCCCATATCCTGATGTAGGAAGAGGGGCCCAGTGCAGCCTTTGCTCCTGTGCTTTCTTTCCAAGTCTCTCTGTCTTGTCTTCTGAGAGGATAAAGGAATTCCCACTATGCTTTAAGAATCAGCTAACATTGGTGCCTCGGATTCTGTGTCTCCCTCTCTCTATACCCCTCCCCTGCTCATGCACTGCCTCTGTCTCAAAAATAAACAAACATTTAAAAAAATATTTTAAAAAGAATCAGCTAATATTGGGGTACCTGGGTGGCTCAGTCGGTTAAGCGTCTGACTTTGGCTCAGGTCATGATCTCATGGTCCGTGAGTTCAAGCCCTGCATCGGGCTCTGGGCTGACAGCTCAGAGCCCAGAGCCTGCTTCAGATTTGGTGTCTCCCTCTCTCTCTGCCCCTCCCCTGCTCGCTCGCTCACTCTCTCCCTCTCTCTCTGTCTCTCAAAAATAGATAAGGATTAAAAAAAAAAAACAGAATCAGCTAATATTTTCTCTGTGTTGCCCTCACTCCTTATTTTCAAAATGGGTTTAACAGTCCTACCTTGCCAAATCTCAGGGTTGTTGTGAAGAAACATAGGATACCATTCATGAAGGGGCTTTATAAACTGTAATGGGTAAAGAATTAGTGCTACCAAAAGGCTCTGAGGGCAGATTGGTGTAAATCCCCTGCCCCCCTCCCCCATAAAATAAAATGCTCACAGCACCTCACTTGCTGAGAATGGAGAAAAGCGCCCCTTCCAGGTGCACAGAGCACTACAGGTGACTTGTGGGGAGGCACATGCCAGGTAAAGAACCCCATTCTCACACTCCAGTATCTGTTACCATCATAGCTCTGTGCCCTTCCTACCTCAAGGCAAAACAGCTGCCCTCTTAACCACAGCCAAGTGCCAGGATGGCCTGTCTGCAATTGTCTTCTCAGGGAGGGGAGGTGGAGTTAGTGCATGAGTACCTAAAGACCAGAACGTGACTCTCAATCCTGACACCTATGGGTTGTATGAGCTTGAGCAAGTCACCCGACCCGTGCCAACTTCCTCACACATCAAGTAGGCATAGTTGTATCCCACCGTGACCCACTGCCAACTGCAAAAGAATGTTTGGGCTCAGAAAAATGCCCTTTGCAATCTGTTCATCACTGTCATTTGTGAGTCATTTGTTACTTTGTGAAGCACTGTCTGTCTGTGAGATCTTACTATGAGTAGCCATAATCAGATACTCTGGAGTGCTTGTAGTGAATTTCAGCATGTTCACAAAGTATACACATTCAGTTAGGGTCAAAATATCGTTCAAATAAATCCATTATTCATGATCCTGTGTCCCAGGAAATAAGAACATGGCTTATGCTCCTTTTGGGTAACTCCTGGGACAGTGATTATGCAGTTAATACTATTAACCTACACTCGGGAAGCCTTTCACTGTCTTCAAAGCCCAAGGTTACACAGGTGACAGATGGCTCGAGCTGGGCTCAAGCCCACATCTTTGATATCCTGGCCTCATGCTCCATCTACCCCGCAGGTGAGTGGAAAGCAGTAGGAATGGTTACATGGAACATCTGGGTTCCTTTCAGCAAGAATAGTGTGTCAAAGTTGCCATTCCTTCTTGTGAGACACAAATGAAAAACTGGCTCAGTGAGAGCCAATTTCAACGGCTGCTGAAACCAATTCAAACATTTCTGAAGGTATGCAGAAATGTGAGCTACTTCTCAATTTATTTTCTTTTAAAAATCTTAGGAATTAAAAAAAAATTCTAATTTTGTCCATGATTCCTTTTTTTAAAAAAGTGGCTATAAATATGCACACATTCAAATATACAGATGTAGATGTATGTATGTGTTTGTATATACTTCATTTTAAATTCAATATTTAATAAATTAAAGGGGTTTAGTTTATTAAGACTATTTCTGGCAAAAGTCCTAAGGAATTAGGAATTAAGAGACACTAAGAAGGAAAAAAGTCCCATCCTGGAAGTAAACCTAAAATTGGAACCTGTAAGTTCAGGCTCCAAGTCAGAACTACCACTTATGCCTGAGAAAAAGAGGTGTCCCATCTTCTGACAGACTGTCCCTCCTTCCCCCATGCCCGAGGACCTCCTGGCCCCTTACCTGACTCTCTCCTCTTCCACTCTCTTCAGAGCAGCGTCCCTCTGCAGAACCTTCATGATGGCTTCTTGCTCCTCCTCGGTCAGGAAGCTCAAGTCAATCATTTTGAGACGCATACACAAAGATAATAGCAACAAATCCGGCTTACAATTCTCAAAGCAAAACAACTATGACTGTAGTTCAAATGATTAAAAGACACAAAAATTAAGTGAAATAATATCTTGTTCAGTTCTGCAACAAAAGTCTTGTGTGTTGGCTCAGCTAAAGTTTTAGGTGACTGATTGCAAAATCCTCCGTACCCTCTTCAGCGAGGAAGTGGTGGCCTGTGGGACAAGGTGGAGAAGAGGCTCTCAGAAGGACGCTGAATTCCTTGCCAGACAGGTCACTTGTTCCTACGGTGGCATTCCTCCTCACACTCCCACTCTGGACCAGTTTTAGACACAACTGATTCTCCTTCCATCCAGATCATCGACTTGAGGAAAGGCAGCAAGATCCGAGCATCACCTACCTGGGGAATCATGAGACAGTAAACACCAGACAGTGAGAGGCAGTTCCTACAAGCATTGCTCATTATTACAAGATTTAAAACATGCCTGGGGAAAGAAAATGACCATGTGAGATGGTCTCTGAGATCAGGGAAACCAGTTCTGCCAGCTTCCTGAGCAAATGGGTCATGAAACATGCTTCAACTCAACTCCAGACTGCCAAGATGGAGAGCACACAAAATGCCGATCGACATTTGACAACTGACTGAGCAAAGGAATGGTCGCCAAAAGGAGCTGGTTCTCTCTCTACAAACTCATGGGATGCTAGGCTAAAAAGTCACGCTCAAGGTCCATAAGACCAGGAAGACGTGATCAGCTGTCAAGTGATTATGGATAAGAAACTAGACGTAAAAATTCACAAATGCTCACATCTTCATGAGTAGGAATGTTGCACCAGAATATATCTGTGCTCTGTAATGACAGGTAGTGAGCTAGTATCAGGTTAGGGTACTTCGCGCAAGAGTGGAAATTGTTATTCTTCACCCAGTCCCACCTCTAACTTTGCTGAGTCTAGAGCAACTCACCAAGCTTGTCTCTCTTCATTTCTGAGGAGAAAATACCTGTGATGTGTGTGTACATAAACTGGGGAAAGGGAGATGCAGAATTTCAACCTCCATCCCCCATCCAAAATGAGAATTTTAAATAGGACTCTGGGTAAGAATCCTATTTTCTTTGAGGCAATTCAAACCCACGTGCAATGGGAAGGTGACACGAAGAATTCCATAGCCGTCTGGGATTTCAGAAGCCACCTACTTCAGGATTGGGGCCCTTTAACAAACACCGCGCTATACATACGGTAGACACTGAAAACCAGGTGTTCGGTAAGTTTTAAAGAAGTCTCACTGAAGAATAAAATAGAGTGTGTACACGCCTGAGTACTTTTTATGAGTAAGTTCTTCGCTTTGGCAAAATAGAACTGCTGAGAAGCGCCCCTTCTGCCACTTTAGCAAGCGAGCTCCCACTCTGCGACTCAGATTTCTTCTCATCCGCGCTGACTTCCCCATAGGACAGCCCTCAGAGGTTGTAAAGACTAAGTGAAACGTGAACAGAAAACAGCACATATCTTGCATCCTCTACCAAAAATAGCTACTGAAAATACATTCTAGCTTCCTTTCTGAGTTCACACTTTTGTTCTATCCCTCTGAATAAGAGTGTCCTTGATTATATAGTTTCCTTTTCTCTTTTGTATTATGTTTCCTTCCCAACTTCCCCATGAGGTGTGGACTTCATGGACAGATACTCTGATGACCTTTGTTTTAAATTCCTGTAGCTCTCTTCATATTGCCCACAGTGACTACTCAAAAATAAACATTAAGACACTACTTTCTTCTCTCTTTTTAAAATTTGCACTCATTTGTACAGGTTAGAGCCTACTTGTTCATCTTGGAGACTACTCATCCTTCAGGGTGAAAGTTACCAGTTCCAGGAAGCCTTCCCTAATTTCCACAGCCAGAGTTAAAAGTAGATTCACTTATGGCTCCTAACTCTTCACTCCCTCCCTGAAATAGCCATGCAACCATGTTGCCGTTAGAGTAAGCAGAGTATTCATCCCTACCTTCCTAATGTTGGGCTTGACCTGTGACTTTGGTCCATGGAATGTTACAAATGCCATACAAGCCTGACTGTAGATGCTCATGTGGTTTGGCTTGGCTTCTTACAGTCCTGCCATGGGCTACAAGAAGAGCTGCCACAGGTAAGCTACTGCCCTTTCAGTCTGGGTCCCAGAAAAGGAGGTATTGGGACAAACTAGAACCTGACCCACCTTAAGCAATCCCAGCTGACCTGGCGATATGGGAAGAAATAAATATTTGTTGTTGGAAGCCACTCAAGTCTGGCATTGTTCTAGAACACTTCTGTAGCAGGAGCCTAACTAATACAAAAACTTTCTTCTCCATATATACACTTTGACTGTTGTAACTATGTGTCTTCCTTCAGCCATTCCCATTTGACTGTGAGTCTCTGAATGTGAATAAGTAAATGAATGAACCTAATCCAAAAAATACAAGTTTGCCAGGGGATGGCTATCCTTTCATGCAGAATAGCTTCTTTCATGCATAGGAACTTCCTTAGATCTCACAGGCTACCAAGGAAATGAATTCAGGCCACATTCTGAGAACCATGAACACTGCCATATGGTTCGATAAGAGACTGTTTTTAAATCAATAAGTGGGGGACAGGAAGAGGACAAAGGAGAAAAACAACTCAGGTTGTCCAACAGTGGTAATTGGCAGCGTTGCTAAAGGAGGAAATGCTGGTTTCCACACCTTCATGTACAAGCTAACCAGTGCTTCTGTGTAAGAGCTTCTAAGGGTTAAAGGTTTTTTCCTAAGAATGGACTGTTAGTGAGACAAAGAGCAAAGTCTCCATTTCACAGACAAAGGAGTGAAGGGCTGGAACCTTCGACTCCTAACTGGGTAAGACAGCATTAAAGCTCTTGGATGGCAATCAAGACTCTTCAATGCCAGGTGCTTTCTCAATTCCCAGTATTCTGGATGGTCTCTACCATGGGAGCTAATCAAGCATTTAATTCATTCATTCAACAAACACTTATTGAGAGCCTATTATGTGTCTGGCACTAAATAGAGCAATAAGTAAGACAGACAAAAACTTCGTGTCCCGTGGAACTTACATGGCACTTAGAGGAGACAACGATAAAACGAAAAAGGCCTAGGTAATTAAATTATGTAACAAGGTGATAGCAGAGAAGGGAAGGGGGGAGCTGGAGTTTTAAAGAGAGTGATTAAGGTTGGTCTTGCTGAGAAGATGGCATCTGAACAAAAACTTGACAGAGGTGAGGAAACAAGCCACGCTGGTAGCAGAGGCTCCTGAGGTGGCAGTGTGTCTGGAGTGTTCAGAGAACAAGGAAGCTGGTGCCAGGACACCAGAGTGTGCCAAGAGGAGGACAGGATGGGGAAGGTCAGAAAGGAAGTATATCGGATGGTATTCTGCTTTGCATTAGCACTATATGACTTCTGGCTTTCACTCTGAGATGGAGCAGCACTGAGGAAAGGCAGAAAGAAGGAGAATCAAGTATTTACAGGGTATGCGTAAACACCTGGCACTTGACATATATCATCTCATTGGATCCCCACAAAGATCTGAGGCTGGTGATTTGGGATCTGTGTGTTTAGATGAGGAGAGTAAGGCTCAGAGAGGTGTTGGCCACCAAGCCTGTGTGTGGTGGGGCTGGTAGCTGTCAACAGCTTTGTCAGATTAAGCTGCCCCGATACTGAACTCTCCCTTAATTCTCCCAGCCACAGATTCTTCAAACTGGGAAGCACAACAAAACTCTTCTGTCTGAATGTGGACTCTCATTCTCTGCTTAAGCATAAAAAAAAAAATCACTGGCCCTCAGCTGGCAGTCAGCAATGGGGGCAACTTCAGTGCAATGGGGGCAAATTGGGAGGGATGAAATCCAACAACAGGGATTCTCTATGTGTTCACAGGAGTAGCTCCCAGGGTGAGGCATAAAGTCTTCCTTAGCTTCGGCCTCCCTCCCACTCACCCTCGTCATTCTGCCGAGTAACTTTTCTTTTCTTTTTTTTTTTTTTTCAACGTTTATTTATTTTTGGGACAGAGAGAGACAGAGCATGAATGGGGGAGGGGCAGAGAGAGAGAGGGAGACACAGAATCGGAAACAGGCTCCAGGCTCTGAGCCATCAGCCCAGAGCCTGACGCGGGGCTCGAACTCACGGACTGTGAGATCGTGACCTGGCTGAAGTCGGACGCTTAACCGACTGCGCCACCCAGGCACCCCTACCGAGTGACTTTTCTAAGTCACATGTGACTAAGCCATATGGCCAGGTTTAAAACCCTTCACAACTTCCCATTGCCCCTGGGCTAATGCTCAAACTCCCCACCACGGCCTGTGGGCCCCACATGAACTAGCACCAGCTTTCTTCCTTAGGCCATTGCCACACAACTTTTGCCCCCTTTGAATATGCTGTTCCTTCCTCCTGGAATACCTTTCCTGAGCTAATACATTTGCGTCTCAAGTTAGATGTCACTTATTGCACAGAAGCCTTCCCTAACCTCTCAAGGCCAGGTTAGGCATCCCTCTTGTGGGCTACAATAGCACCTGACTTCCTGAGTCAGGATATCTACCACACCATCTGGGATCCCTATCCGCTCATGTTTTTCCTCCACTAGTTTATGAGCAAGGCCTGGGCATCTGAGTGCTTTGTGTCCCTAGCACCTGCCACTGTTCCTTGCATCCACAAGGCACTCACATACTCAACACATGAATACAAATGGAAGAGGACTGAGCTGCCCCTTCTTCCTTGACATGAAGCTGGCTCTAGGGCCATATTGAAAAACCAGTCCATATTATTCACAGCTTTCAAGCTCTAGGTCTTTCACATGACTGTGTGGTTTAAATAAACTACATGACCTCCCCAGGTCTCAGTTTTCTCATCTATGTGATGGGCATATTTATTCTTACTTTCCCTTTCTTATGGAGATTACTCTCCATAGAGTAATGAGTGAAGCTCTCATAAAAATGCAGGACACCATCGAGAACAAATAAGGAGTGAGCAAGAGTAAGAGCAGCAGCAGCAAAAAAAATAAATAAATAATAAATAAATAAATAAATAAATAAATAAATAAACATTAAAAGAAAAAAAAAGACAGCAGCAACATGAAAGGGAAATTTACAGGCTCCAAATGCAGACTGGGCTTAATTCAAGTTTTTCATGTGTCAGCCCTGCTATGCCACATCTACAAAAGCCACTACTCCTTGTCAAGGGTCCAAAGTTAAGCTAGACAGGGAAACCAAGACCCCAAACAGTTGATGCTTGCTGGTAATCACAGCAAGAAGAAGAGTTAGACTTACAGCCCTAATCCCAATCATTCTGCCTGACCAAACCCAGGTTAAAGCCTGATTATCAACGGCATTTGTTCTCCAACCACACTCTGCTGCAAAGGCAGACACATATACCATCTCTTCCTTCCCCAGATGACTGGT